AGAGCGGTTGTAAGATGGACTTCCCTTTTACCATTTTAACTCGACAACCTTAAAATTCAACAGCTATGACCTTGGTAAGAGCTGAGTGATAAAGGAAATGTTAGCATTAACATCAGATTAATGCTTTATGATCTAAAAGGTGATTTTTGCTAATTTTACATCACTGTGTCCTCATAGCAAGTCTCTAAGCTAAGTACAAGTATTATCAACCCATTTTATAGATGAACAAACCAAGGCTCAGAGGGCTTAAGAAACATGCTCAAGGTCTTGCAGCTAAGTGACCAAACTGAGACACATTTTCTTGTGTCGATGTTCTTTCTGCTCTTCCTAGATAATCCTGATACTCCAGTAATGATGGCACGGATGGAGGAGACCATTTTCATTACTCTTAAGATGTTTACAGTCTTGAGTTATCCCTAAAAATTCTCACTCAAATTTGGAATTTTAGAATTCTTGTCATTCAAGTTTTTTCTTCCTCCCTAAATTCATCAGAGATTCTTACCTGGTGGTCTTAAATACAAGCAAAGTGCAAGGTTTTGTGCAAAAAGTGTCTTCTTGAAAGATTTAATCATTTTACAAGTAGCAAAGAAAATACCTGGGTAGCAAGAGTGCAGAGAACAAAGATTCTCAAAAATAGCTAATCAACCTTCCCCTTCCATTAAATATCTTGCCTTGTGTTAGGAACAGCTTGCTCAGAAACGGACTGGACCTAAAACATGAAGCCTCACCCTTTCCATGGACCACATGATGATGAACTGGATTCCCAAGGTTATTTCCATAAAGCCAACCACTACCATGTTCAATTGCCTTTACATTCACTTCCCCCTCCATCTTTTTCTCTTTTCCTTCTCATTTGGGTTGTAAAAATGTCAAGGAGTCTCACTGTGCAGCAACGTATGAGTTACTGGGCTCTGTGACAATTGAAAATCAATGACGTTAGATACAGAGAAATGTACTAATGCCAGAAGCATGAACATTTGAGCAAGAAATGGAAGACAATGTGTGTGTGTGTGTGTGTGTGTGTGTTTAAATATATATAAGTATCTTGAAATGTAAAGATGTGCAAGTCCTGTCTTACAAAAATCAAAAAGGCAGAATAATTTACTCTAAAATGTGATGCAATGTCACTGCCCTATTCATTTCACTCTTCCTGCTATGATGATTGTAATTTCAGTGCCAGTTACAATGCACTCACATATTTTCTAATGTTAATACCAGAATCTACTTCAAGGTTTCCATTTGGTACAGCTTACCTAGTAGCTGCCAAGTCAAGAGTTAACAAAATGGCAAGAAATCAACCTTTGTAAAAACAAAACAAAACAAAAAAAGCCTTGAAATTCCAACCTTTAAATTTTCAAGTTCACAAGTTTACCTTTTGACTCTAGGTCAACAGAAAAGGTTAGCAGCCTTTATTCTGTTTTACTTTTCAACGCAGTTAAAAGACAGTCATTGTTAGCTATGCCTAGAAATAACTATAGCAGATCAAGAATGGCACTTATGAACTCTGAAAGGAGAAATGCATAACTCTATGACACCAAACTACCCCAAATGCAACTTTCTTTAGGTTATAACTGTTGATTTCCAATCAGTCAAGTGGATTGCTCCATAGTTAATCCCACCCTGTCATTAAGATGGTTGAAATGCCAGACAAATTGTTTGGCAGTCAGTTATTTCGGGCTCTTTAATCACCAAATCAGATGAACCATGTGGCAATGCAGTCTACAGTTCAACAATTACCCTGAGAAAAGATTAATCTGATCTGTTCCAGAGATGGGACCAAGAGTTACACGCTTTAGTAGTAACCATGATAAGACTGGCAGCAGCAGACTATTAATAACCACTGAAAATAAATACCAAGCAAAAATTAAAATCTTGGAATAACTGCTTTTTTGTAAGCCTTAATCCACACATGACATGAGCAATCCATATAAATATGGATTACTCCCGGCCCTTCCTCAAACACAAAGCCGCTATAAAGAAAACAAGTTTGCAAACTCCCCAGAAAGGCGAAATAAGGGAAGAGGGAATTGCAGACACAGAACTTTAGGTGAGAGGGAGAAAAAAAAAAGTCACCTTAGTAATATGATAAACAGTAATTAACATGATAAAAAAAATCTGGATTTCTTCAGAAACTCAATAATCAAAATGGATTACAATTTACTATTGCCTCTGACCACAGATCGAATAAGAAGACTCTTCCTAGCTCTTTATCACATCCTCAGGGAAATCAAGAGGTCTTTCATCAAGATTCATTTCACTTGGAAACCCTATCAATGGGTGCTCAGTGGAACATGAGGCACTTGAAACCTTGTCACTCCACTTTGCTGGGCCATGTCTACACTGGTCCACAAGGCAGGAAAAACTGGACTTTCCTCGCACAGCTCAATTTTAATCAGCAGGAGAAAACTGGAACAACAAATCCTAATTCCACCTTTAAATCATTCATGTACACATCCATACGAGGAGAGATGTTTACGGACAGGAGAACCATGGTTCGAAAATGTGCTGGCCTCTTTAAGTAAGGATCAATCAAGGCCTTTCTTCAGCCTGTTCATTTACATTTCAGAGGGCACATCAAGCCAGTTCAGATCTAAGTGCCTGTTAGCAAATGTGTTTGGCCTTCTGCTGATTACAGCAGCATCATTTATTTTGTCAGTATTAGAATCGTCTTAGCTTTGCCACCTGGAGCTGTAGCACTTACTCATTAGACCCCTCTGTCCCACCACATCCCACAGGGGCTGCTAATTACTGGCTTTACTCCATTTAGTCTCATCTCTGATTTAATTATGTGCACTCAGCCCTAATGAAAAGTACAAGATGGCTCTCCTTACCTTGGCATTCTCCATTCCGCTCTTCATGCCCAGCATGGCATAGGCAGTTGCCAATGGGTACCAGCCATTCACCATCTGCCCCGCAGTACATTTTTGGCACATCCTTCTCTTCTGAGTTGTTGACACAGGAGCCTCGAACTTCCACCAGGGAAGACGTATCGGCCCCTGTGATGGTGTCTGGAAACTGAGCCAGATTGCGAACAGTGAGCGGACACTTCTTGTAGAACACTCGGACCGAAACCAAGGCGATGCAGGCCCCTACATCCTGAAACGCCAGATAGAACCCCTTTTTGCTCAATGGCCCTACATCCCGGATTTCCGTGTTCAGCTTCATGATTCTGTCGCCAATGTCCACTTGGGTGAAGCTCTCGTCGGCGGCGATGGTGTCAATTTTGGCAAACTGGCTCTCTCGGATAAAACGCTCCTTGTCGTTGTCTGATTCATAGTAGTACAGGTTAAACGTCTCCTTGCAAGTGCCCATGACACCCGGAAGACTGTTGCAGTCCCTCAAGGTGAACTTGATCTCAATGTACACCCTCTGAGCCCCTTCTCGGGTGATCCAATCAGTTCGCAGCCAATTATTCTGGCTGGGCTCCATCACGTTGCACACTTGGTAGGTTCGGATTGGCGTATTTTTTTCATCCATAATACTCACTTCCTCCCACTGCAAAGTTCCAAAGGAAATGCATCGATTACAAAAATTTCATCATACCGTGATTTATCAGTTCTATTTTACCCTCATAGCACAGTGATGACTTTCGTTGCAGTAAGAAAGAAAGCAACCTAGCACTAATTCCTCACCAAGATGATATTATATTGGGAAAGTATTTTAATTTTCACTCTTTTGCCTCAGATCCAGAGGTTTTGCTGGATTGATTGCTTTTGAGTTCTCAGCAGTTCCTCGGTGGTCTAACAACCTCAAATTCACCTATTACAACTGCTACAAGTTCAAATGACAACAGTTCAAACTTACTCATAAATGAAAAAACTAGGAGGTGTATTGTTTCAACAACTGAGCAGAGACCTGCAAATTAAGAGCAGGAAGTGCAGAGTCTGCCAAAGGAAGACAGTTATCAGTCAATCGGTGGTGCTCCTGTCAGAACTTTGCTCTCTAATACCTAAAAACAAATTGACTTTTTTTTTGGCGATGTCACTACTCTTTAAAGGGGTAAAGAAAATCTCACCATTCTGGTTTTGGTAATCCTGGGAAGACAGAGAGTAAACTTTATGGTTAGATTTCTCAAATACGCTGTCATTTATAATGGTAGAACACTTTTCAAGAACATGTATGCAGTCAAAAAGTTTGTATACTGTTCTTATTTTTAAAACAAAGTAAACACGAATGCACACGTGCATTGCTTCTAAATAGTCTGTGGATATTGAGAATAGAATAGTAAGTGGTATTTATGAGTGAAAGCCCGAGAAAATTAAAGAAGGATAGTAGGGTTTTCTTTCAATCTACTTCCTAACATAGAGATTCTCATAGTGGGAAAATCTGAGTTCAGCAAAATTCACTGTGACTAGCGTAGTTTCATTCTCGCTGTGGCTTTTAAAATAATCCTAAAAGCATCAAGATAATTTGGGGCTCCTACCAGACTGATAGACAGCCTCCAATTCTTCATTAATATCTACAGTAATTCCTTTATAGAGATCTGGTATAAATCAGCTTAAGTATCTAACGCATGAATACAATTAGAAGGAAAAAGATAGTTTTAAAAAAATTCGTATTCTATAATAGCTATACTTAAAGCTCCATTCAAGCCAATGAAGTACATAGAATCATAACATATCTTTAACAGGTTTCCCACCTGTGCATTGGAAAACTATTAATGGATGGAAATGTTACTATGTGAAGGGCCATAATGCATAAAATTCTGTATCCCTTTCATCTGCCACCATTATGAAAGTTTTAGAACTGGGAGAGTTAAGTGCCCTGTGGTGATTAAAATTTCTTTTTATCCACTAAACAATAAATCACCAGTAATTTACTTATTTGGGGGAAATTCATGTAAATCCAAAAATAGATCCCCACCTTCAAAAAAACCTACTCAGCATGCTTCTCATCTCAGAACAAAGGAAATATGGAAAAACGCATTTATCAATGTAAATGAAAGCACATAGGGATATCTCCACAGTTCATACACATAATTCAGGTCTAATTCGAATTTTCCAGCCCGAACTTAATTGTCTAAACACATTGATCAATTCAGCAGAACAAGGACAAATCTCCCCTTAGTTTTGCATTTTACAATCAGTGTCAGAAACTCAGTATACTCCTTTAAATGAACACTGAAAAGAAATTAGTTTTTTGCTACAATGTTGCCATCAGAAACCATCACTTTCCATTATTTGCATGTTCTGCTTAGCTGTTCTGATGGAAAAATGAAAGAACAGTGACTACAATTCATTTTTGACCTGGTGGTATTGTCAAATAAGGTTTCTTTTTCTTTTTAAAAATAACAACAACAAACAAATAAATGTCATTATTGGTCCAAATTATAATCTCAAATTTCCAGCCAAGAAAGATGTGAACTGTTCTAAAAATAAGTAGAGATTTCAGAATAATCAAAAGATTCAAATATGCTTTTACACTCAGAAAGACTTTTTTAAAGCCAATCCACCCCGTACTTGTTAGATATCCAATTTACCCCTTCATTCTAGGCCCCCAAAAGTCTTCTTTATTACAAAATCTAGAAATTAATTAAACTTTATAATTGGGCACATAATTTCTCAATGGCTACTATGTAGTTTGGAAGGACTAATTCTATTATACACAAATAAAATTTCATTTTTTATGTTTCATAACAATATTTAAAACATTACACACATGGTATTTAAGGAAAGGGAAGGAGTACATTCTATATTCAGAAGTCCACATTCTGCCCATAAAAGGTTCTGGGTTGTGTACAGTCAGCTATGCACAGTATCTTTTTTTTTTTTTTAAGGGACACGGAGACAACCAAAAGAAGTTTTGTGTCTAGAAAAAGTGACCAGGTGCTCTTTCAACAGTTCTCTGGGAGCTGGGGTGGGGGGAGGGAGATGTCTGTAGCATATTAAGTTGCAATAAAAGCTTCCCAGAAACTAGACAGACCATGAACTGTACTTGAAAATGTGTTACTCCTTGCTTTTCAATAGGTCACATGTATATTTAGTGTAAGGAGTGAGGTCCAAAATCATACTAGATGTACCCTCTCTTCAAACTTGGGAACAGCCAGTAAGAAAAATAAGGCTCATTAATTTTTTTAATGCAAGTACTGATACCTTCCATCCTCAGTTTTGCCAGCAGTTCTAATACATTCAGCCTACAGAGCAATACCTCTGGTGTAGCATGGGAAAGCCTCCTTGAATCAATGACCTTTCCAGGGTATAGGATTAACAAGAGTCTGACTCTCACAAGATAAAGCTGTACCTTTCTTCACATTCAAAGGATGAGGGCAATTGCCTGCAATCAGCAGTGAATACAGCCTGTCTACACTGCCAGAGACCTGCCAATCATTCTCCCTCCCTTTAAAAAAAAATGGTTTTGAGGGCAGACTAGAATTTTTCAGCAGAGACCCAACCAACTTCAGTCAAGTTCAGGCAGAAAAACAGGAAGGCAGGACAATCTGCATTTTATTTCAAATGGAATGACAAGACTTGCTTTGGAAAAAGCCTAAAATTTTCCATTCTTGCCTTGTCTTATTTTTGAAGCCCATCTTCTATAACAGTTTCTATGAATCTTTATTTTTTTCAATCCTTTATTGTTTATTCAATGGCCAGGTGTGAAGCGCCATACTGGGTGCTGGCATTACAATTTTTGCCTGATAAAGACTCCTAATCTTTCACCCCACTGCTTTTAATCAAATGACTCAGTCATAGATTATCAAGCATGTAAAGGTACGATGATATGCTTAATTTTTAAAGGATTTGAGAGTTTCAATTTGGCAGATGCCAGAGTTACACATTGTACTGATTTCTTTCCAAAGCTGATTCACTCTGACCTATTATTAAGGGGGGAGGATGGGGTAGGAGAATGTGGCTATTGACCTAATTCTATTCTCATGGCAAATTCAAGAAGAAATGAACAGTGATGCACGCTCATACTCTATAATCCAGCCTCCCCAGTCCCCAAAGATCCAAGATTCCAAATACTTTAACTTTCATATTTAGTAACAACAATGCCAAACTTGGGGGGTTTTTTTTTTTTTTTTTTTTTTTTCTGCATAGATGTTGCCCTTGGTACAAGTTTGTAAGGCTTTCCCTCAGCGTGCAAGTGAAAAGCAGCTGATTTAAGATTGTCATAGCAAGTTACAGAGCCCCCCGCTGCTCACACACAGAACTAAACCTGCTCCTGGTACAATCAGAAATGTTCTCTCCCTGGTATTTTTATTTATTCATTTTCCTCCTCTGGAAATAGAACAATTGCTCTAAAATTAACCCTGTCAGGACTTCATGGCTATCACATCAATAGGCATAAATACTAATTTGGTCCCCAGATCGTATTTCTTGTTGGTGTTTTAGTCTTAAATAGGCATCTAAGGCAATGCCTCCACCAATCTCCTAGTTTTGAAACCCCTTTTTGCCCTTTTGGATTCCAGTTCTTCCATGACAGAGCTATCCAAAGGGAGTATAGGATTTCTCCAACAAAGCGTAATTCACTTCATAGGCCATGGCGGAAATCTGACCCCCGGCCACAATCAACAAGAATCACGCCATTAGGACTCTCAGAAAGTTGCTAATCACTCCTTTTTACCCTGTGGATCAGAGAGCAATTCGGAACTTACCCCTCCTTCCAGAGGGCTTGCTATCCACCCAAGTTCTCCCTGAACAGATCTGGAATCCAGTAAAGTAACTGCAAAAAACCAAAGAAAAATAGATTAATTTCCAATTGCAAAAAGCCAATACTACAAAAAACCATTTGCCTGAGCGTTTCCATATGTGCCGAGGGTGTGCATATCCAACTCTGATCAAAACCTAAACCCGGTCTCACTTATGTAAATAATCATTACTCACCCCATCTTCTCCCCTCTTTAAATCTGCAGGTTCTTATTTATTTAACTTGCTTAGCATTTAAAATTCCATCCCAGGACTCAGTTGATTCTTTTTCTAAAAAGGATGAATTGAGAATCTCAAGTACAATTCAAAAAATAAATATATCTATGTAGGGCAGTTACACTCCCAAGCAAAATCTGCATTCATCTCTGTCTGATATCTACTAGAGTTATTTGTTTTTGCAAGTTTCAGATGACCGCATAACTCATCATCATGGTGACAGAGCCACAAGTGAATTCTATCAGAGAGTACTCAAAAGGGTCATGAAAAGGCTCTCTCCCTTACCTTTTTTTTTTTCCTCCACCACCAAATAAATAGGCCCTGGATGTGGTATCCGCTGCTTTTTTAAATATCAAAGTTTCAGAAGGGGGAAATGGCAGACGTGTGGAATTAGAATGCAAATACACTTAAGTGTTCTCTTTGGCCTTTCTGAAGACAATCGGAGACTCCTTCCCCCAAGAGGAAATCACTGGTTTAAATTTTAGTTATGGAGGACTGCCTAATAGATTTAGTATGCTTGTGCTACACCTAAGAGTATACATCCAAGCTTGGGGGGACCGGGAGGGCGGCTATACAGCGGTCGCACCCCGCCCACGCTGGAACAGTCCTAGGCACCGAGAACATTGAAAACGACGCAATGAATTCCTAAACTCTCCACATTGTCTTTCCCACCGAGATCTGCAGGCCTGGGGGTCGAAAGGCCCATCTCAAAGGAACCACTGGGTTATTAATTTGATCAGGGAGGCTGGCTCTTCAGGCTGGGGGAGGGGTGGGAAATGGGAAACCTTCATCCTTGCTCGTGCGCACCCCAACTCTCAGTCTCGCCCCCCGGCCCCTAAATTCTGCCCACCTCTCCTCTCATTTCACCCCGACGTCAAAGTAGTTGAAAATGAGCCTCTTTCTCCTGATTTTCCCGAGAAACCTGAATTCCTAGGTTCTGTTAATTATTTTAAAATGTAGAGCCTTCCCTGGGTCGCTCCCGCCCGGAATTGCGCCCCCCCCTTCTCTCCTCTGGGTCTCTAGAGAAAAGCCCGCTACATCCATTTGGATTTATGTAAGGTGGATTAGGGACACAAAGGGAACAATAAGACCCAATTTACAAAAAAAGGAAGGGAGTAGAAAGGGAGGGTAAAAGGGAGAAAAGAAAACGTGATGGGAATAAAAAGCAACAAAATGAATTAATTTTTAAGGGGGAGGAGGGGTCGGAGAGGGGTTGACCCCCCTCCTTTCTACATCTGCCTACAGCTCCATCACCGCCTTTTTTTTGTCTAGGGCTCCCAAGTTTTGCTCCCCAAAGAAAAAACAAGGGGAAAAAAGGAAAAAATCTCTGCGTTTGGTGCAGAGGTCTTGGGGGACGTCCTAACAAGAGTGCGAAGTATTCAGGAGAACGCGGGATCCACGATCCCGCTCAGAGGAACGACCCCAGGGACCGAGGGGCAGCAGGGACCGAGATGGCCCACGTCGGTAGGAGAGAGGAGATCGAAAAGGTGACAGAGCGCCTCTTTCCTCCCAAGCCTTGTCTGCCGGCAGGTGTGTGAATCTCTGGGAGGTTGCGTCCGGCGAGCTCTTGGCACCGCCCGCCCAGCCAAGGCTAAGTTGGTTTTTGGCTCCCTCCTTCGGAACAGGGAAAATGATAGATTGTACGGGGATGGATGCACGGATCCTGGAGAGATGGACAGTCGGATGGATGGATGGATGGATGGATGGATGGATGGATGGGGGAGGGTGGGGAGGTGAAGGAGTCGGCGAGCCAGTTGCGCGCAGGCTCGAGCGCGAGCATCGCCGGAACATAAGCGCACACAATCGGGGCACTCGAGCACAGGCACACAATTGTCCGAGTCGACGCGGACACCCGCGCACCCACAGACACCCATATGCGCGCGCGCGCGCGTATACCCACACGCACACGCAACTCGCCTTTCTCTGAGATCATCAGAAACTAAATGATAAACCCCCACCTCCCCGACACAAACACACACACACACACAGACACACACACAGACACAAACACACAAGTCAGAAACATCATAGAGATAATCCACAAACACACACACACACACAGACACACACACACACACACACACACACACACACACACACACACACACACACACACACACACACACACAGCTCTCCAGCATGTCCAAACAGACGCACATAAAACTGAGCACCTACACTGATCCAGTTGGTCCGGCACGTTCCCTTCAAACTAACCCGGTGTACAGTTGTAGGGGCAAAAAGCTAAAACTCGAGTACGTTCGGCTTGCCAGCGGGTTCCCAAGGTCTGCGGGGTGACATGAGGAGCTTGGTGTCCCCTAGGCCAGCAATCGCACCCCGACGGCGCGGGGACCCGGCTGAGCGAAAGGTATCTGACGCCGGGTGCTAGCAATCAGGTCACCAGCGACCGGCGAGCGGCGCCACGACCGCTGCTCGGCGGAGGCCCGGCAGCCAGGTCCCAGGAAGCGCAGGGCTCGGGAAACTTTGCAGAAACCAGAGCTCGCAAAGCTTTCGCAAGAACCCGAGAGCACCACCATACCCTCAAGGACCTCCAGGTTTCCGTTCCCCCTCGACCTGGGCTGAGTGGGTAAGTGGCGGTAGGAGTAGGTCCACAAAATGTATTTATTTATTTGTTTTCTTGGCGTTGTCTCCCATGCATCCCCTCGGGGCACCTCGGGCTGCCCTCGCCGGTGGATGCCGATAAACTTTGTCCTTTCGCTACAAACTTAGGCAACCTCGCCACACGCACGGGTCACCGCCCCGAGGCAGGCTGACCGGCCGCTCCCCGCCTTCCCTTCGCGGTTCCCCTCGCTCCAGACCCCTTTCTCCGGAGTCAAGGCGACCGCTCGCGCCGGGATCCCCTGCACCCTCCGGCCTCGCGCTCCCGGGGACCATTCACCCGCCGATCTTCGCCTCTCTGTCCCAGACCGCAGAAAGGCCGCCCCGTTCTTACCTTCATTCGCGGGATACACCCTGGAACCGGTGACAGCGTCGCAAATCCCAAACAGAAACGAAAAGAGGAGGAAATTAAAAATCCCAGCCATGGTTCGCCGGTACTAACGCTGCTCCTGCCGCTTCTATCCCAGTGGAATAAATGCTTAAGTTAGGAGTGCAGCAGGCTGAAGACATTGCCAAGGGGGTGGGCCCGGCCCGTGACGTACACCCGCCAGTCCGGGGCCCGCAGCCAATAGTAGCGCAGAAGGGGTTGCCTTGCTCCGCCCCCGATGAGCAGAGCCCGCCCCATGCCCCGCCCGCCCACTCTGGGCTCGGCTGGGCGCTTGGTCTCCCCGGGATTAAGGGGGCGAGTTCTGCCGCGTCCCTACCCTGGTGGCGTGAAGCAGCGGGTGCCCTGGTCGCATCTCAGCGGTCCAGCCCCTGGACGGCGGAAGGAGCTTCGAAAGACTCTGAATTGGTTGGGGGAAGTCCGAGGAAAGGTTGGGAACCCGCTCTTACGCCTCGGGCGGTTTGAGGTGGAGGAAAATGCTCTTTTATTGCAATAAAAAAAGTATCAAGTTGACCTGCCTCTTTGCTGTTGCTCTTTTCCTGAGGGTCGAAGTGTTCGCTTCCCGCGCGCCCCGACTCAGGCTACACGTTCACTCCTGCGCGCGGCCGCGGCCACTCTCTGCTACCTGGCTCCTGGCCCCGTTTTGTGTCTTTGTGGTGCATCTCCATATGAAATGCTCTTTGGGGAGAGTTTTGTGGCTTGATTACTGCTTTTTTCCCAGGCTCCCAGCTGCCTGGAGAGCGGTACCTAATCAGTCCCCAACGTCGAGTGCAGCCCTCGGCCTGTCTCCAGAGACTGAACGAAAGACATTCTAGCAACGGAGAAGCCCCCTCAGGCACCATCTCCGCGCTCAGCCGTGGAGGGAAAGGCGCTTCCACATCCCCGGCCCCAGGACAGGACTCCCCACCCCGGCAAGGCGCACCGAGATGGCCTTGGCTGCCGGGAGTCAACTGTGTGTTCCCTGTTGGGAGTCCCTGGAACCGGGCCTAGCAAGTTCGGGGCCCGGGGGGTAGAGGCGAAGAGCTGAAGTGGAAGTGCGGGGACCTGCCGCAAACCCGAGCTCGGGGGCTGCCCGGAGCGGTTGCTGCCGCCCTGCGCTCCCGTCGCTCCCCTGCGCTGGTCCGGACAGCTCTCGCCGCCCCAGTAGACGGTGGTGAGCGTCAGGACCCGCAGAAATCCGCGCAGCCGCCCCCGCCGAGGTGCTGCGGGTGTCACTGTGGGCCTCCTGGGGGCCCAGGCAGCACGGAGCCCTGGTTTGTCCCCTGATGCTCCGGACGCGGGCGCAGCCAACTGAGCGCTGCCCAGAGACCGCAACGCAGCAGGCGGCCCGGGGCCCGGCCCCCGACGTGACTCGGTGAATTTCTCCGGACGTTTGAAGACGCCCTGATTCCTGACGAGGCCTCCCTCCTTCCCTCCTCCTCCCAAACCACCCCTCTTCTGGCTCCTCACGGGGTAAGGCCAGGTTTTCCTCCCGGGCCTTGGTCCCAGCGGGAAGGCGACCGCGGGGAGATGGAAGCGCCTTTCCCTCCCCGGCGGCAGCTCATCGTGAACCAAGCGCGCCACCTGCCGGCCAGAAAAGGGAGTGCGAGGCCCGCGCGGAAGGGCGAGCGGACAAAGACCGCACCACGCAGTCCGCAGAGAGTAGGTGTGTCCGTGGGGTATCTTTTCATCCATCCGCCCCTGTCCGGAGCACCCAGGACACCCCTGCGGAGTGGTGGCGGGTGGCCGTGGAGAGGGCCCGGGAGTCCTGTCGCACTTCTCGCCAGCTGGATTGCAGAAGACGAAATCAGAAAGCGTTTCAAGGAGAAACTCTTAGTGTCCCAGGGGTTGCCTGAGTAGCTGCCATCCCTGAAATAGAAATCCTAGAGAAAGAACGAGGGGTGTAGGGCGGTGTGGAGGAGAGAGCAGATCGCGGCCACGGTTTCAGGTCATTGGCCTCCGTAGCACATCGTGTCTACTCCACTTGTGCAAATTCAGACCCGGGCTAATTATATGGGCAACTTTTACTTGAGCGCGCTTGGCGAGGCGCTGGGCAGTAGCTGTGTGAGTCGGTGGCCTAGAGGGACAGCTTGTGCGGCTCCAGACTTTCTGACTTCTCCGTGAAAGACCTGCTGAAATGTCACAGTCTGAGGAAGTGGATTTCAGTTATTGTAGCTACTGATTTTACACAATTAAAAAGGGGGAAAGAAATGCACGCGGGGGATATGTATGTACGTGTGCGTATAAATTATTTAAAATAACTGCACGAAGTCCTTCTAAGGAATGCATTTCTAGGTTCTTTCATGTGTCTCCCTGAGGTTTATTGAAAATAGAGATGAATATTGGTCCCCGTCATTCTGTACACAGACTCAGCGGAGTAAAAGAGCAATCCGAATTATTTTTTAAACGTTTTTAAACAATAGTTGCTGGTTGCCTCTCTGCAAGATTTGAGTGCTGCCTGTATGGGTGGTTGAAATGGGAAATCGACTGGCTGCTTCCTTAGAAACAGTAAAATTTTTTAAACATGAACCATTCCCTGCCCCCCCGCCGCCCCACCACCCGGTATATTCACACTGATTATTAAAGTCTTTCTAGCCACAGCTGCCTGAAAGCAAGGCTTCACTTGCTAGGGGATATTCAGTGATGTCCGTCCCCTTTTTTCTTCCCATTTCCCTTTTCAGGACCCAAAGCAGCCCAATAATCTGGAGACCCAAGAGGCAGGAAATGCTAACTTGGGAAAACTGAACTATAACTCCCTCTTTATAGCATTTCTGGGCTGAAGATCAGAAATGAGCTGTTGAATACTGAAATATTTAGGATGAAAGTATACGATAGCTTGGATTTCTGTAGAAACATTCCAATAAAAAGAGAAAAAGAAAGAAAAAGAGTAAAGGAATAAATAGATGGAACAGAATTGGGAAACTTGGGGTATATTTTTAAGTGCCGAAAAATACGACTCATGAATTCATTATACTATTCTTTCTATGCTTATGTGTGTTCAATGTTTTTCGTAATAAAAGTTATAGTAGGAAAAAGAAAAAGAAATGAGATGCTGAAAATTCCTCTGTCCACTGTGACAACCTAGAGGGAAAGTGTTCTAATCCAACAGACATGATTCCTCCTTAAAAACAGGACAAAAATGAAAAAAAATGATGGTGGTCCTGGTCTACCATCTATGCAAACCCCCTACTTTATTGGAAAACGCCTTGGAATTTTCAGACGTTTGAGAGTATTTGCAACAAATCAGTCACTCAGTGAAGTCAAAAGCATACAATAGAATACCACACAAAAAGCACCTAAAATCACCTACTCTTAGTATAAATTAGGTTGACTCTTTAATAAAACTAGACTCCCAACTGCTGTGAGAAATTGAGAGTATTTTGAATCCAATAAGAGATATGTCAAAACATATATGCTTATAAGCTTAATGAAAATAATAATTCAATAATTTGAAATTCTTGGTGTAATGTTTCTTTTTGTACAGTGCCTACCATAAAATCTTGAGCTACAAAGTACATTTGAAGTGCTTATTTGAATTAAGGTTGAATTTCAAAAGTATCTCTAATTTGTAAAGACTTTTCAAAATAACACCAAGCATCTTAGGAGTTTCTGCGTCTAAACGGAGGACCAATTTTACCAAAGTAACAAGAACCTTGGACCTTTGGACAAAAAAACAACAATAAAGCGAGGGCCTGGAAGACTAGAGAAAAAGTTAGAATGAGAACAGGAATCCACTTTGCCTTTTACTAGACACTCTGCCAGATTTTCTAGCTAGTGTAGCTGGACTTCCTGGACCTTGGTCTCTTTATTAATAAATGGAGTCTCCAACAGTGCTCCAATGACTCCCTGTCATTGCCAGAACCAGGATTTTCAAGACTGACATCCCTAGTTTAACATTCTAACAGTTCCTTTACTAGCTGAGTGTCTTTGTGTAAGTTACTTAACCTCTCTGAGATGTGGTTTTCTTATCTGTGCATCGTAGATAGTGATGTGATTCTTCTAAAAATGGAATAAATTTTGTAGAGCAAGTAGTATGGTGTCTGGCTCATCATCAGTAGCTATTATTACTTTCAAATAATATCTCATTAATAACTATTAATATTTTTAAATGCACAATCATTTGTTCAGCTTGAGACTTCCCTTCCGTGAGGAAACCAGTCTCTGTGATTCACCTTATGCTCTCCATGAAAGGAGAAGGCTTTATTTCACCAACCCCTGGAGTAGGTAGGGGAAATAAATTCTAAGTGCTTCCCTTCTTTCATTGTTCATTTATTACAGCTCACACTAAACTCTTATATCCCTACATGGTTCAGTGGGATTTGAACCTAGGGATTGTAACTGTCTTCAAATATAATAGTTTCAAAAATGATTAAATGAAACAAGGTGTAAGGAATAAAAAATGTCACCACCAAGTCAAGATATTGGTGATAATGAATAACCAAAGCTCTAATGAAATATCAACTTCTGTCAGAAAAATGCCCCTAAACTTAGCTACCACCTGAAATATAATGACCTGAAACTATAGTTGGTGGGCTTCTTAAAGCTCCCAGGAAACTTTGTTGGAGATTTTATCTTTTGATGTCAAGGCTTTGTTACTATTTCTTATGCAAATAAGAAGCAGGCCACTTGTTAGCCCTTTACACCTCAGTGGGAAAGAGAGCCATGGAACTCAGGTCTTGATCAGTCAGACGGGTGAGATACTAAGACTCAGTAAAAGACCTTCAGAATCCCTGAGGAAAAGGACAAGAAAATAAGGATGGAGATCTCAAGGGGTCAAGACTTTTCTGAAAGTCTGTCTGGTGCTATATCTGAATTTTTGTTCAACTCAAACATTACTCAAATGCCTACTATGTGCCAAAGACCACGTGATTAAGATGTGAACGTTGTCTTTTCAGCCCTGGGCAGGCACGACACCCACCACATGGGGGTAGGGGAACCGAACAGAAACCACTGGGAAACTTTTGTTCTCCTGGGAGCTGTGGAGAGGGAGGTGGAACGAGAGGAAGACACCCACCCAGTTCAGTCCTGCAGCAACTCTAGATATCCATAGCTAAACGTTTTGCAGAGACAATGCACTTTTCTTCAGGAGAATCCAG